CATGCAATGGGTCCATAGCTAACAAACTGGATTACCCTTGAGCCCACAGTATAAGTCTGGCTTGCCCCCTAGGCCCACAGCTTATGTATGGCTTGCTCCCTGGCCCTCAGTACGAGTCTGGCATGCCCCACCCGACCCTCAGCTCATATCTGGAATGCCCATGAGTCCTCAGTATGAGTCTGGCATGCCCCTCCTAGCCCTCAACTCATATCCGGATTGCTCCAATACCCTCAACCCCTCAGTACGAGTCTGGCATACCACCAGGTCCTCAGCTTATATCTGGAATGTTACCGAGTCCTCGGTATGAGTCTGGCCTGTCCTACCCGGCCCAACAAGATATGCCGACAGATCACAAACATAAGCAGATAAACGTGCAGACAGTATTACAGGTAATCCTACCGATCGACCATACTAGCATATCAATAACTAGCATACTCATGCATAACTATTCCATACTCAGTATATCAGCAATATCAGGTTATCAAACCAAAGGGCCAGCTTTGGTGCCTTCGACCCGGAAGTATAGGGAGGAAAACTCACCTCGCAATGCCGAACCACACAGACGATCCCTGGCTGTTGGCTTATGGATCCCCGAACCGCCAACATCAAGACAACACTCCATCAATAGTTGATCCCACGAATGATCTCTGACTGTAGATCCGCTACCACACACGCGCTACCAGATACCAAAATGACAATCCATCAACATCTAGCCACTGAATCATATTATGAGTCCAATTTAGGGTAAAAGACCTTTTTACCCTTCCCCAAACTTGGCCCAAACTAGATGACAAAGAGGCCCAACATCAAAATAAACTCCTAAAGCCCAAAAATCCAAATAAGCTTCTAAGGCCCAATTATGGCCCAATTTTCCAAATTGGGCCCAATCCCTCTCATGGCCTTCATTCTAGAAAATCCAGCAAGACAAAAGCCCCAAATCATGAAATCCATATGGCCCAACATGGCCCCATACAATCCAAGCCCAAAACCGAACCCCAACACAAAGAAGCCCACTACAGTCGCGTACGCGGGGCGTACTCCGGAGGTACGCTCAGCTTACACGAGACCTCGCATTGACCAAGATACGGGGAGGCTGACCGAGTATGCGGGGCGTACTCCTCCCTAAGCGGGGTGTACCCTTGCAGCTCTAAAAGTCCAATATGTGCTTAATGGCTTAAGCACTTCAGCCCAAATTACAGATCCATGGTTCAAAAGTGTTCCAGAACCATAAAATCTCAAACTTTAAGACTTTGGTCAACCAAAAAGGGCTTAATGCACTTAATCCATTAAGACCCTTCTACCAAATGCATGATGTACTTCTGGCCATTGGGACCTCATTTTTATGACTAAGTACCCTTCCTATGGTCTAGAAGGACAGCTCAAAACGTCCAGAACATGCCATGCTCAAGATGGAGTAATTGGGACCAAGAAGAAGCATAAAAAGACCCAAACATGAGATCTAACAAACAAACCACAAAGGTATGACCTTTATACCTTCAAATGATGGAGAAGAGGGCCATAAAATGATGGAGAAGAGGGCCAAACTTCCAGATCCAATTCCTGCTTCAAGCTTCCAAGCTCCTTGATGCACTTCTCCTTCTTCAAACTCACCAAGAATACACTTTAAGGCTCATAATCACACTTTAAAGGGTTAGGGTCTTGCAAGAACGGATCTAAGACTTTGGAGGCTGAAAAGGTGGGGATAAATGACCATAAGGATGCTTAAATACCCCATAAACCCTAAAAATTAGGGTTCCCATCGGACATGAGTACGCCCAGCGTACATGTGTGTACACCCAGCGTAGTAGGGTACGCCCTAGTACGCTTATCGTACTCATATGTACACTCAGCGTACCCCTACCACCCCCAAATTACAAACTTGCCACTAGGGCTGCCTGGCCACCTCCTCTAATCCAAGGACCAAAAGACATAATTAACAACCAAGGGATGGATTTGAAAATACATGAAAACCGGGGTGTTACACATATAACCAAAGGTCAAATCTACCTAAAACCCTAAAGTTTGACCCCAAATCAAACTTAGTCAAAAGTCAAAAAAAGTCAACAAAGTCAACTCATTGGTCAACAGGCGCCCCGTACCCGTTACACGACAAAACAGTCGGCCCCCCATGCTCAAACAAGTGCACACTCGAAAACCTTAAAAGCACACCATGCTAGGGAAGGGCGTGTATTTCCCTAACTTAAACTAAAGGGTCAATTGACTTAACCCAGTAAGTCAGAACCCCAGCATTTAGATTTGGACTCCCACACAATGTCTAAATGGATAAAGTTTCCAACTTTATCTATTAAGACACACCACAACAACCAAGATCTAGATTTGAAAATAAAAAAGGACCCTAAATGACAACATTCTTTTCATGGCCAAGAAAACAAGATCTAAGATCCAAACTTTCCATGTCTAACGGGATCAAGGAGTGATATAATGAGCTCATAAGGTGTTGGAGTTCACTCAACTCCAAAGCACAAGCCCAAAAGAACCAAAAAGGAACAAATTTGAGCAAACTACAAGATCCAAGAAACTAATGATCAAGACGGAAGCTTTATACTCACAAAAGTCCAGAAGATTAGCAAGCTTTCTGGATCTACAATGGCCCTTTTTTCAACACACCAAATGGAGTCTTCTTCTTCAAGCTTCATTGGAAAAAGATGATAAAGATAAGCTTTCAAGAGGATTCTAAGCTCGAATAGGGTAGGGTTTTCCAAAAACACTCTCTAGCTTTGATGGAGGCTGAGAATGATCCAACCCTAGATAATTAAGTGCCTTTAAATAGCCTACAAACCCTAAAAATTGGGTAGCCCATAGGCCTGGGCGTGTCACGCTTTATAAGGGTGCGTTGTGCCCTACTAGGCCAAACAATTCCAATTGCAAGTCCAAATCCAAATTATCCAAGGCCCAAACATTTTAAATCCATATAAATATACATACTGGGAAATAAGATGTTATACCTTGGATAGGGATAAGGCATGTTTTGATAAGGATAATGATTATCCTTAGGAAACTGATGACCGGTTACAACCGGTCATAAGGGTAAAATGCGAACATTTCAAATAATTCATGAGTAAATCAAGCATGAAAAAAAGTTCAGTTACTAAATATGAACTAGTTGAATGTTTGTTACCCTTTCAAGTCATTATCACTTATTGTAATCATCCCTTATTTTATTTTGTTGTGTGTTGTGTTTGTAAGGAGTATTACAGAATAGAGTGTGTATCACAAAAGCATGTTGTAGTTAATTGATTTAGTTTATATGTGAAACGCCAATCCACAAAGAAGAAATAATCAGTAGAGTTTCATAAAGGCAAAAAGACACATATACGAGCAATAAAATGAAATATATATCGAAAATCAAAAGGAGCATGGTGAGAAGGTACATATAGAACCAACATACATATAGAAAAGGTAGATAGAAGTAATAACTAGGAAGAAAAGTATCGACACAATAAGTTGAAAGTAAAAACTAGGCAAAATGCACAAACAATGTAAAGGCAACTAGCACTTAGACTACTCTTGTACTACTCCATGACCTTGATCTTATGCATCCACACTCTCTAATAAAAGCTTGTGTCCTTGTAAAGAGAAAAACTTCATTCAAATTTAACATTGCATTATCTTCACGCTTCTTTATCATATGTTCTCTCTTCCTCGCACGATACAAAAACTTATTATTAAAACTAAAATTGTTATTGTAAGAATAATTTTGTGGTATGAAATTTATATCAATGTTGTAAGACTAGAATTATAAAATTTCGGTGTTGAAAACTATTTTAAATTTGTAAAATCAATTTATTTAAATTTCAGTTTATTGCAGCAGCCTACGGAAGTTAAAAAACAAACAAACTTCTTATTATATGTTGCAGCCGTTTGGTCCAACTCTTCTGCTGCAGAGGGTTGCAGACGTGGTCCGCAGACTTCAGGCGTTTTTGCTTCGAAAAAACAAACAACACCCAATGTTGTGAAAATCACTTAGCGGTCGACTGACGTTAAGCGATTAATCGGACTCGGTGGGGATTAATCGGTGATTAATCGGAGACCCTAAATTATTAATAAAATTAATTAAAAATTAATATATCTTAAAAAAATAAGTATTTTAAAATTTAAAATTTTGAAATTTTGAAAATTTGAAAATTTTAGTATAATATCTTAAAATTGTAATGAAAATTAAAATTTTTGGTGTAATATTTGAAAATTAAAAATTTTGAATTTTTAAAATATTCCCGCCGACCGTCGAGGACCGTCAAGCCCGAGTTTGACTGATTTTGACCAATTTCCGCCAAACACTCTAATCGTAATCGGTTCAAGGCCGCCAAGCGATTAATCGTCCGCCAAGGTCGATTTCTACAACATTGACAGCACCTAAGGCAGATAGAAGCGTTGTTAATTTTTGAGTGGAAGAGAAAGACAATGAAAGGAAAAGAAGAACACGCATCCAAAAGGGCAAAACCGACCAGGCAAAAAATAAAGCATCATCCAATCAGCAGCCAAATAAATACACCATCCATTGACCAGCCATTAGCCAATGAATGGTACCAGGCTGGAGCTTTTCCACTATTAATGAGTATATATAATTACAATACAGATGTCATGCTTACACCCCGTTTCCGAGTTCAATTTAACGAGAGAAAAAAAAATGGATGGGAGTGAGAAGAAAGTAAAAGAATTTATGTTTCCGAATTTCATTAAAGGAAGGAAATAGAAGGAAATGGAAGGATCACTTTTCCTCCTAACTTTCCTTCGATTTGGAATAATTTGGAGAGAAAGAACAAAATGTTTAATTTTCCTTTCACTTCTCTCCAACTCGGGAACACAAATGACAAATTTCTTTTCCTTTCTCTTTTTTTTTTTCTCTCCTTAATTTCTTTTCTTTTCTCTTTTCTTTCCTTTGCTTAAACTCGGGAACTAGGTGTTAGAATGAAAACATATTTCATCCTAATAGCAATGGTGAACACTCCAACATGATGCGAAATAAGAAAAGCAGAAAAATGACAAAAGAATAGCCCACAATTTATGTTTATCATAAGCGTTAGATAATCTACGACGAAGAAACAACGAAAACCATAAAAATTAAACATTAGTTCTCTTAGTACCCCATTAATCATTTAGAGTCTAAGTATAACATCATATCCATCATCCATTATTTGTTAATAGCATATATTTGCTCCAAGCTCCCCAAAACTTCTTCACTTGAAGGCCTATCCTTTTGATCCTCAGATAAACACCTTAATACAAGTGCAGCACATCGAAAAGCACCATTTGGTGGGTATTTTTGTTTAAGACACGGATCCATTATTTTTTTTAGCTTGCTTCTGCTTGCTAAGGATGAACTTGCCCATTTTACCAAATTGGTCTGTGGACTCGGCTGCACCGTTGCCCGACGTCCTGTTAATATTTCCAGCAACACCACTCCAAACCCATAGATGTCGCTCTTCACACTCAAGCGACCTGTATTGTAATCACAAGATACACCTGTTAACTTTTCCATGGGTATGTATATATTTGTTTAAAACAAACCATCCTTTTTTTCTGAAAATATGGACCTTACACAAAAACCAAACATAATAGTTGCACAAGTCCACTGAAGAAAATATCAGTTTGTTACATAGTAACATACCCGTATTTATATACACCGGGTCTGCATAATGATAGGTACCCATAACACTCGTTGAAACAACTGTTTTCCCGGTCTCGGTCTCAGGGAAAAATCTTGCCAACTCAAAACCCCCCAGTTTTGCATTGAAATCCTGGAATAAGAAAGAGTAAAGATTAACTGCTAGCTTCACAGGCATAAAATCAATAACATGGACACCACCAAAAATCTTAAATAGCTTCAGAGTACCTGATCCAGCAATATATTAGAGGATTTAACGTCACGGTGTATGAGTTGGCGTTTTGATGAATGGATATAAGCGAGTCCACGGGCTACTCCTATCATTATCATAAGTCGTGTTGCCCATGGAAGTGGTTCGGCAACATCTCCTGCATCAGCAATGTTATTCATGTTGCAGCAGTTATTTGATTGCAAAAATTCAACATTTTGGGAAAAATTATCCACCGATAGTTTTTTAGAGAGATTATGTACACATTACCTCCAAATAAGAAGTGACCCAAGTTTTGGTTTTGCATGTTCTCATAAACAAGCAACCATCTTTCTTCTTCTTTCATATTGTTGCAGTATCCCAAGAGACTAATAATATTTGGATGAGCTAACTGTCCTAAGACACTCAACACTGTCTAATCTCAAAAAAATTTGAAGTTACATTTTGTAGATGTAAATTAATGTATATTTATAGATATTTACCTGCCATTCATGAAGATTGTGACACCTTTCAACAGCAACAGCAATACCAAGACCCTCTGTTGAAGAGGACAATGTGTTCTTGTCAACCCAACCTAAGAATGTCTCTCCATAACCTTCCGTAGCAATGAGCATATCTTGACTAAATCTTCTTGTAGCCAACTCCAAATCAGCAAAGTCAAATACTTTCAAAGTTAAAATAGGCATTGTGAAATCCTTGTCATCAGACCCTACATTATCAGCAGCAGCATTTCTATTGTTGGCCTTGCTATCACTTGGATCACCACGGACTGAAACAAATGAATACAAACAAATTATATAATCAGTACTCGCAAGTCTGCAATATGCAATATTAACTATTTTTAAGGATTATTCATTACAACATATGTATTCAGTAGGAGAATAAAATACCAGAGTTGTCTCCATTGGAGGTGAAGGGGAACTTATCAACCATTCTACTGAATACTGTTCTATGTGAAGGTTGCAATGAACTATTGGTTTTCTCTTGTAAGATCAATACAGAAGCAAGACTGAACACGACCTCAGTCATGGTTGGACGCTCCTTTTGCTTGCTGTGCAAACATGCCCCTGCAATCCGAACAAACTCTTTCAAACTTTTCGGGGAGATTTGATCCCTTATACCAGAATCAATTATATGTTTTAAATTTCCTTCTTTGATGGATTCTTGAGCCCATCTTGCTAAATTCTGCTCATCTTCATCGAGACTCAAATCCAGTGCAGGCCTCCCACAAAGGACTTCTAACAACACCACCCCAAAAGCATACACATCAGACTTCCTTGTCAGCCTTCCTGTGAAGGAATAATCAGGATCTAGATACCCGAAAGTGCCTTTAACATGTGTGTTGACATAAGTCAATGGCTGATCCTTTGGACCTATTTTGGACAACCCAAAGTCTGAAATTTTAGCTGCCCAGCTTTTATCTAACAAAATATTGGAGCTCTTCACATCACGATGTATAACCCCGGCTTTAATCCCCGTACCAGTGTGAAGGTAGTCTAACCCACGCGCAGCACCTATGCAGATCTTGAGTCTCTGAAGCCAAGAAAGGGGGGTCCCAAGTTTATTATGAAGGTGGTCTTCAAGAGTTCCATTGGGCATATACTCGTAAACAAGAATCATCTCTTTTTTATGATTACAATAACCAAACAAAGACACAAGGTGACAGTGACGGAAGTTGGAAAGCATCTCAACCTCCGCCCAGAACTCTGATGCCCCTTGACTGGACATGGGATCCAACCGTTTAATTGCAGCAACGGAAACAATTGATCCATTCGTAATGTTACCTTTGTAAACTTTTCCAAACCCTCCATGCCCAATTACCAATGATTCGTCCAAGTTATCTGTTGCTAAGAGAATCTCATGTAATTCGAAGTGACGACATGGTTGTGATGATTCTATGGAGGAGCATGTGGAGGGTTGAGATTCCTTGCCATCGATAATAGCAGGGAACATAGTTATTGATAAAGTAGAAGCACAATTTGCGATGGATGTTCCATAAATGATATTGGAGCTTCATAGTCAACCTACATAATGGTGATGTTCTTCCTGGAAAGAGAGATGGAGCCCAGCGTGACCCGGACATCTGTATTTATCATGTTGAATACACGTCAATTTTGACTAACACTGAATTTCGTTCGGGAAGGGTTATTCATATTGAAAACTGAGTCAGTAACAATGTAGTTACGGTTTAATCTCTTTCTTTGATGTTGATTATTTTCAATGGAGCTTCTTCCTTCACAATGTACAGCAAGAGCAGTGGCATATTTCTTTGATGAAACAGAAACCTCGTCTTAGATTTCAAAAGGCCCTTTGCCCCTGTAGCGAAATCCATAGTCTGCCTCTCGAATCCAGAGATTTAATGGTAGAGAATAAACCTGATTTGTACGTTCAAGTCTCTGTTTGTGTGGAGTGACTCTGCAAGCAGATTTCTGGGCAGCAGTGATACCGTAACAATGTAGTTACGGTATCACTTGGATTCCATCGTTAATTCGTTTGTTCGTTTGGTGAAGAAACTTTATTCAACACACACAAATCGATGGCTGCTAATCGTTTGGAACTAGTGTATTTGAATAAAGGACCACCAGATTCTAGTGAAAAAGGGTTTCCGAGCACCAGCAATTCGCCTCATCATCAAAATTGCTTGGCTTCTGTGGTGGTATCCGACACTTACTAATTATGGAAATCTTATAGAAAAGTCAAAACTTTTGTTTCAATAAAGTTTTTTAAATAAAAAGTCTGAATTATTTAATATTTTGTCCAAATGAATGGAGAAGTCTTTTTTTTATATTTGAACCGTAAATAATAGATTACAAAAAAACAATTTAGGACTTTTTTGAAACTTTTTCCAAAAATTTGGGACTTTTCTGTAGATTTCCTTTACTAATTAGATCAAAGCTTCTTAAACTTGTTTAAACATGTGGTTTCGGACCGGAACCAAACCCACTGGATTATCGGTGTCGGTTCCGGTTCGATTTCGGTCCCGGTCACGGTCCTGGTTTTTCGATTATTTTCAAACTAAAATGGTTGATATGTTGTCGATGACTCAGTATTTAATGAAAATATGATTTTGTACATTCTAAAATAAAGTAAAAACACTAAATTACATGTTGGAAAAAAAAATCAAGTCATTTCGACTTTATATAAGTGAGTTATATGTATTTTAAAAAGCGAGACAAAATCCAAAAAAAAATGTTGAAACAGAAAATACGCAACATTAATATACGGTCTAAAATTAAGTATAAATACCAAGTTACATGCTGGAAAAAAATCAAGTAATATGGACTTCATATTGGTGAGTTATGCACGTTTAAAAAAAGGGACAGATTAAAAAAAAACAAAAAAAAATGTTAAAATAGAAAATATGCAACAATTTACCATATTTTATTCGCACCATTCGTTTCTTTCTCTCTATATTAAACAAATCAATATCATTTTCAACCAAAAAAATGGAGCAAAACTCAAATACCCCTCCACCAAACACAACCTCTCCGGTCCGATTCGTCCAATTTGAAAGTTATATAAACTATTAAACTCTCAAAGCTCACAAAAAATACCATTCCAGAGAAGTTATTTTAATCTCACCTTACCTCTAAGCAATTTCATTCCTTACCCTACGTTCAACAAAATCTTTTTGGCCAAAACCAAAATTTACAACAAAAGATTTTCAATATTTTTTCTTCGATGCCACAAACAGCCACCCAACCACCACCCACACAACCATCGATAGAAACCGTTGTCGAAACACAAGCGAGAGGTAGTAGGAAAGGGAGAGGGAAATGGAAAAAGTTTTCATGGAAAATGAAGATATACCACAATTACGGACATCGGAGGAGGAGTACGCTTTAGCGGTAGCATGGTGTCTGACTTCAAAAAATGAACGACATGGAAATGATATGAAGAAAGTTGCTTATTGGGAAGCGATGCTCGCAAAATTTCATGCTATTTTGAAGAAAAATTCATATTGCAATACTGATATGCTTAGTAGCAAATGGACTCAAATGAATAGGAGGTGCACCAAATTTAAGGGGATCTACAACAAACTTCATTCCTTAATAAATTAACAACTTATTTTCTCTATTTCCTTAATTATATTTGTGTCATTAGGCCAACCCAAAAGGACCATGTTATTATTTAGAAATATTATCAACTGGTTAATGACCTTGGACACTATTTTCAACACTGATCATGGGAAATCTATAACATCCTGTTTCGAAAAGTTCTTATTTCAGGATTGTAGACAATAAATGGAGCAAATGGAGGCATTGGGCTTCAATGGAATGACGTTTAGACTCTATTGGAGGTGTATTATGTTGGGCAAATGATTTAAACCTTGGATTGTTTGATGGAGACTGAGAGGTAAAATGTGAAAGGTTACGTTTTGGGCTTCTTGCGTAAATTAAGGGATTTAGTTCGAGATGTTTTTAGTTATAAGTATCAAGATACAATTGTAGAGCTAGTCGTTACCTTTCCGTGGATATAAAGATCATTGAAAACGGAGTTGAAACGAATAATTTATGCTTGTTTGAAGTTAAGCTGGAAAAATGAGTGTGATACACTGGGCGTACTAGGCTGAAGAAAGTCGTGTTTTTAGGGTGTTATGTTGGGCATACCGCCGCATTGCAAAAACCCTATTTTCGTGGTTTTGAGCTCTATTTAAGGACTCTAACTCCATGAGGTCCTTCCTAACGTCAACATCCGCCCTCTTGAGCCTCCAACTCAAAACCCTAGCCCCTATATCAATTCTAGAGCCTTTCTATGTGTTTTGAGTGCATTTTGGATGAAAGAGAAGTTCAAGCTTGTTGATTGTTAAAGCTCAAGCTTGTGGATCCAAAGCCTACATTGATTTTCTCAACTCCAGAAGGTATAAAGCTTGAATATTGATGATGCATTTGTTAGATCTAGCTAGTTTTGAGCTTTATGAGCTCTTTGGTCACTTTAGTGCATAAAGTTTAGATCTTGAAAGTTTGTGACCTTGTTATGGATAAAGTTGGAAACTTTATCCATCTAAACATCATATTGATTCAAATCTAAAGGTTAGAGACTTGGACTTAGTGGATTAAGTTGATAAATATGCATTTTTGGTCTCTTTGAGACTTAAAGACTGGATCTTAGTTGTTTGGACCATCCTAATGGATAAAGTTGGAAACTTTATCCATTATGGAGCTATTAGGAGTCATAAAAATGTGATCCTGGTCCCTTTCTTCCCTCCATGCAAGAGTCATGATGCTTTGGTTTGTGTATCAAGTTAAGATTTTGGTGTATGGACTCCTTCTAGCCATGGAAAGTCATAAAGTTGGAAACTGTATGACTTACAATGTTATTTGGCACTAGATTTGAGCTTTGGACGTGAGATCTTAATGAAATAAGCACTTAATGAAGGTAAATGGAATTGGTCGAATACGTTGGGCGTACCCGGTAGTACGCTGAACGTACCAGACTGAAGCCCCATAATCAGGAAAAGATCTACTACGCTGAGCGAAGTGACTGGGTACGCTGGGCGTACTCAGTCTGTGTTGACCTCCTTTGACTTTTTTACTTTAACCAGGAATTTGACCAAGTTTGACCTTTGGGAATTTTGGGTAATTTGAGTTATAGTTTGAGATTTGGGTCACTGTTAATTGTATAGGTGACCGGTAGAGATAGCTTTTGGAGCGGTGATCGGTGCAGCTATTCTTTTGGACTGTGAGGTGAGTCTTCTAACTGTATTCATGGGTCGAAGGCACCAATGTTGGCCCATTGGATTGTGCTAATTGTTTTTGTGACTTTTGCATGTATGTTGGGTCGAAATACACCCCATGGTTGAGCTCACTATTGTATGTGATGGGTTTTATAGATTACAATAACTATGTGTTTGCGGAATTTCACTTAACTTTTAAGGGCACATGCAACCTAAAGGATCTATGTCTTTAATACTTTAAACGTAACATGCTATGAACAACAAAATAATTTGAACCTTAATAAACTCCTAGTATAATCAAATACAAGAGTTAGACTTACATACATTTGATTTGTTGTAGTAAACAAATCACTTTAAAAACCTTATGGAAAAACCTTAAAAAGGAAGCACCGGAAATCGTGTGCCTCTAATGGCTCACACCCAAAACCTAGAAACCATAGAATGAAGAGGAGAGAGAGAGAGAGAGAGAGAGAGAGAGAGAGAGAAAAGAGGTATAATTTTCATTCCTAATCCTTATGGGAAGATTATGAACGAAATTGAGGCGATAAGGTGTAACGCCCGTGTTTCTAGGCTAAGCATTAGTATGATGATGTAATAGTTAGGGTTAACAATTGTAAGCTATTTTAAAGTAATAAAGGGGAATTATTTGAATATTATGTGAATTATGTGATTTTATGTGCATTATACTTATTAATAAGATCTAATAAATTAAGAATAAAAATAAGCGTCAAAAATAAAATAATAGATAGACCCAATATCTATGAAGAAAGTTGTATTGGTCGTGACAAGGATTCCGGTGATATAAAGAACGCCGAAATCCGACTTATAACGAAGAAGTTATGACCTGTCGAAGTTTCGGGACAAAACTGGCACGACGTTGTGTGACATAAAAAGTGAGTTTACGATAAAATACTTTTTAGCCTTAGCAATCTAAACAAAATGTCGTAGTATACGTTAAACCGAGAGCGTGCATAAAAAGAACGTCCAAATCTGACTTCGTATGAGGAAGTCATAATTTTTCTAAGATTTGGCATAGCAATATGTAGCCCGGAAATTGAATATTAAATCGACCGATTTTTAGCCGACACAACCTAAACGAGAATCGAATATCCCGTTAATAGGAGCTCAACGATAAAAAGACAGACGGAAACAGACGTCACATGACAAAGTTATAAATTTTTAACGAACTTTACATGTCCAGGTCTGTTAAAATATAACTTTAAAAATAAAATCAAAATTAGTTGACAAGTCTAAGCGAAAGTTATAGAGTACGTCTCCACCTACGCGTGGATATAAAGAACGTCGATAACGGAGCTCGTATGCGAAAGTTACGGAATTTAGAAGTTGGAAGAGTTGGATGTGAGGGTGAGGATGTTTACATAAGTCAGCTAGAGGGTTTTGTAGATGCAAAGTATCGGAATAGAGTGTGTAAGCTTGAGAAATCAATCTATGGATTGAAACAAGCTTCTCGCAGATGGAATCTTTGTTTTGACGAGAAGGTCAAGGAGTTTAGCTTCTCTAGAAGTGAAGATGAGTCATGTGTATATGTCAAAGCTAGTAGGAGTATAGTAACCTTCTTGGTACTGTATGTTAACATACTTCTTATAGGAAACGACATTCCAACTTTGAAAGAAGTTAAGTCTTGGCTTGGAAAGTGTTTTGCTATGAAGGATCTAGGAGAGGCTGCTTATATTCTGGGGATAAGGATTTTGAGAGACAATAGTAAAAGACTAATTGGACTTAGTCAAAGTACATACTTGGAAAAGGTACTGAAACGTTTTAGTATGGAAAATTCCAAAAGGGGAACTGCCTATCCAGAGTAATCCCAAACTGAGTAAGACTCAGAGTCCGTGTACCGATGCAGAGATAGCAGAAATGAGTAGAGTTCCATATGCTTTCGTCGTTGGATCTATCGTGTATGCTATGACATATACTCGCCCTGGTGTGTCCTTTGCTTTTAGCATGGTCAATCGTTATCAGGGAAATCCAGGTAAAGCTCATTGGATAGCAATTAAGAATATTCTCAGGTATCTGCGAAGAACTAAGGACTAGGTCCTAGTACTTGGTGGCAATGATACATTGAGAGTAACTAGGTATAGTGACACCAGCTTTCAAATAGATAGGGACAACTTTTTTCTCAATCTATTCCTTTTTCCCTAACGGGAAAAGTGATATATTTGGGCCCCTCGATGATTTGGTGTTGAGTTATAGTGTCGGGTCCGGCCATGACTAAATTGATGTGTTCGATTAGAAGTTCTTTGTCATTACAAATCAAAAATCGGGAAACAAAGTATTGGATGATGAGATTGATTTTTTTCCATGTCTCATATCCGAATGATATCTTGCAAAACGGAGGATTATATGATCACTTATCTTAGGACACGTTACTGATTGGGTCAGAGTTCAACAACGGTTTTTGGAAGCTACAATTTGTTGATCGGTTTAGACTTATCCAAGTGGGAGACTGTTGGATTAGGTGTCTAAGCCCATAACTATGATTAGTATAAACTTGAATTGATAATAGCACGGTCCTTTTGGGTTGCTTTCAAACCTAGCAATTTGGCAGGATGTTTTTTTTTTGGGAGAGTTTGTTTTATTAATAAATTGAAATAAATAATTATTAATATATTATGAGAATAATATATTAATTAGAAATGGTAATATTTAGTTAATAATTAATCAGAAATTAAATTGAATTAATTTTGGGATTAATATAATTAATTAAAAGTGTAGGGACTAAAGTGTAATTGTTCAATAGTTGAACAAGAGACATTCTAAAACCTCCTTGGAGCCTTGGACGGTTCTGAGGTGGATCTAAGAGTTCTAGAATTATCCTTGGAGGATAATCTGCATGCTGGATAATTACCAAAACAAGATAATATTATTATATTGATTTTGAGTTTATCTAGGGTTTCCATGATGCACTATATAAGGAGGCCTAACCCTTTGATTTTCGGCAGTCTTACTTTCCCAAAGGTTGGTCGAAAATCTGATCTCCTACCTCCTCTCTCCTCAACATCCTCATTGCTAACTTGGGTGTGAACCATTAGAGGCACGACAATTGTGGTGTTTGCTTCCAAGAGTTCTACAACAAAGGTATGTTATATTAAACTGATTCATAGAAAAATTCGATTATACCTAGGGTTAGAGAGTTCTTGTTGTTCAACAGTATGGTACATCAATAGTGTTATGACTTAGATCTTTAGGTTGCATGTACCCTTAAGTGTTAAGGATTTATCCGCATTAATACATGTAAAACCCATCAACCTTAAGCAAATAAACACTTACTGATTATTTATTAAATAATTTGATTATAATAAATACTATCAACTCTTGTATTTAATTGGAGAAATATTGTTTTATGAAAATAATAATATTGGGGAGTATAGCTAGCTATTTAATCATAATATGATTTAATATGTTGTGTATATTATTTTTGACCTCTAGAAGTTCACTATATATTTAATTAATGGAATGAGGTGTTTAACACTCCATCCTCTCTCCCTTCTATAGAACCGGCCACACATACTAGGCATGGGCTTGGTTGCTTGTTTTGACTAGTTCTTACACGTGCTATGTTGCTTACAAGTCATCATTTGCATTTAATGAAAGCATGTTCTTCAACTCATGAGTGTAAGTATATAAAGGAGCTTAAGTCTTGCAACGTTATTGTTGTTTCCTCCTTTTTCTTGTCAAAGTCAAGAGCTTGTTTCTCCCTTCTCTTCATCTCTTTTGAAGTGTTATGAAGATATTGTATGCATAATGTTTCTCTTTTTTAGACTAATTTGGTATTAGTCCTTAAAGTCTTAAAAAGCACTAAATACAAATGAAGACTAGCATCTTTGGTGGCTTAAAGTCTTAAGAAGCACTAAATACAAATGATGACTAACATCTTTGATGGCCAAGACTTGCTAGGTTGATATATTCTTAGTAGAGGTAAGCATTTGGACCGAACCGGACCGACTCTTGGACTGGACCGGTTATGGAGAATATTGTTGACCGTGGACCGAACCGGATGAGTCGTGTCCGTGTCCGGGTCCAGGTCCGAGTTTTCCGGTTCTTGGATCTGTTGGACCGGTACAACTTTAATTGCATAGAGTACAAGTCGTTAAAATAAGTTTTTGGGTTTGATAGAACTTGTTAAAACGAATATGTTGTTGGGTTTGAAACGATACAACTTGTAAAAATGATTACGTTTCCGTTTCATGCATAACTAATCTACCTTGATGTTATAATATTATAACTTGCAAAATTAATTTTCCAAATAAAAGCAACTAACATATAAATCTAGTTCACCAAGATCCCTTTAATAGGATTTATCTGTCAAAGATATATAAGAATCAAAATTATAGTCTAAAATAATAGTTAAAAAGCTGAAATATTTCAACTTTGATAGCTCAATTTTGAAGGATTGTAACTCACTGAATATAATATCAAAATCAACAAAATTATAGTCTAAATTCATATAGAAACTCTAAACTAAATGTTGGAAAAAACCGCGTGTCAATCCGATTTAAAACTAATGAGTTATGGTTGTTTAAAAAAATTTACAGATTACAAAATCAACAAAATTATAGTCATTGAATAATACCAAAATCAATAAAATTATAGTCTAAATTCATCTACAAACTGTAAATTAAACGTTGGAAAAAACTGTGTGTCAATCCGACTTAAAACGAACAAGTTATGATTGTTTAAAAAGTTTCACATATTACAATTTTTTTTTAAATCGGGTCCAACCGGTTATAAACCCGGTAAAAACCGGACCGGACCGGTTTTGATGGATTCCTAGAACCGAGAACCGGCCCGAGGGTCCAAAAAAACGGTCCGTTCCACCGGTCCAAATGCTCACCCCTAATTCTTAGGCTCCTATTTTCCAATTATTATTTTTTTACCAAATGGATTGTTGAGAAAACTTTAGTCCACTTTTCCAACAAGTGTCATTTTCTTTTGTTCATCAAGAAAGTTAAACGTGCTTACTTCGCATATAAAGCCAACAAAAACATATAACCACATAACAACCAAATAATATTAAAAATATATATATAAACTATGATTAAAAGCAAAATATTTGGAAATTACAAACCAAAATTCCAACAAAATACACTAAAAAATTCCATGTTTAATTCTGATATGAAACCCTCTTTCACTAGCAAGAACACATCGGATTCTCAAAATAAACAATAAAAATGTCGCATCATGTCCTACCCACAAGTTAAACAACTCAACCCCGTACCCAATAACAAGACATAACAGAACAGAGCAGAACAACAAACTAATCAACTAAAACACTATGATACAAAAACCAAGGGAAACCAACATAGCAATGAACAACAAATAATCAAGCAATGGCATATGTAATCGTTTCTACCTCAACAGGCCTCCACATACTCTTTTGCACGCATAGTAAACCTTCTTTGTCTTTAGAGTAAGTTAACCTCACTTCCCAATTCATTGACCGAAGAATATTCTCCACTTCATCAATAATTTCTACAGTGTCACGAACTATAAGTTTTCCTTCGGGTCTCAAGATTCTATCCACCTCCGCAATCAAAGCCATCATGTTACATCTACAAACACCAATTCAAAACCAATTATCAGTATGACAAGGGCATTTACGTCTTTTCTTAAACTAAAGGGATCATTGGATTGGTTGGTTACTTCTTTTTGATTTTGGAGAAAAGATGATCCGCATGGAGAAGATCATAAGATCTCGGGTAAGTGCTGAATGATTCGCACCAGTCATGATATATTCCAAATAATCCGCGTTCATAAATTATTGGAAGCGTGTCTGGAGAATCAACCGATACCACATTCATTACCCAAGTATTCATTTCTCTTAAAGCAGCTGCAAATCTGCAATATACTTATAATGTTATAATAATAAGAATTAGAAAGATAAGAAATAAAGTAAAAGTAGGTTGGTTTTATTAGTTACCCTCCATATATAGCTCTCATATCCATGACATTTCTAACAGTTGACCAATTTATCCCTAATCCATTCATATACGACTTGTTAACAACACGTTTCCAGTGTTCAAAGTCTGCAGTGAAATCTTCGGGTGCAGGCTTCCCATAAACCCCGGTCTGTGATGTCAGCAACCAGTAAGGTGGTTTTTCCACCCTTGATGGCCATTCTTCGGGCCACTGGGACCCACGCACTTCTGCACCTATTGGTACCTTGTGCATGCATGTTTGCAAAGGTACTTTCCTAAACACACACACACACACAAACATTACTCATATTATTATTATTATTATTATTATTATTATATATATTAAAAAGTTGTTATGAATAGTGAAGTTTTGGGTTTCTAAACTTTTGCACTAAAGTTTTTATTTTAAATTTTTGCCACAATGCGTAGTTATAGAGTTTTACATTTTTGTCCCAAAATTTTGTTATTTTACACTTTGGCCACAAATAATCTTAAAATTTACCTATAAACTTTCTCATTTAGGCATATTTGATCCCTAGAGTTTCGTAAGTTTGCATTTTCCACCACTTACTTTGTAAAATGTCACTTTTACCCTCCTCAATTTTGAACACTGATATTTTTCATCTATTTACATTTCGTATCTTCGCATGTTTGCAGGTTTCTCATGTTTGGTCCCTATGTAGAAAATAAATTACAAGAAAGGTCCTTGTGCACAATTATATTTAAAAGGAATGGTGCATATGTTTTGAAAATTACATGAATGCCCCTTCCTAATAACAAATTTTAAAAAGCGAGATTTTGTCCCTCTACATAGAAAATGAATTACGAAAATGGTCCCTGGGAGAGGCATTTTCTAGTTATTATATATTTTGCATTTCTTACTCATTAATATGAATAAAAAGTAATAAAGAAAATAAAGAAATAAAATACCATGCAGCATTTGGATCATCAGATTCATTGCAGAGTGGAGGGTCATTTTGGGGTCTTCCTTCATAGCATTCATTGGACATGGGCTTTTGATAAACAGCAACTCCCACTTTATTTACTTTATCTTTATTAACAGCTATCAGTTCCCAACACATTGCCTTTGTTAATTTTGTCATGGCTGCAAAATTTGCAAATAAAAATAAATAAGAGTGAATATTTATTTTTACAAGGAAAAGTAAGAAATAAAAAGGAGGGAAAATACCTTCCCAAATCCCAACATCTTCTGGAAGTTTCTGATAGATTGGAGTAGCAGACCAAACAAAGTAGCCACCAGGTCGTAGTAGACGATTCAGCTCTAAAAGAAGTTTACCTCCTAAAGATAATAATAATAAATAATTAAAAAAAATGTAGGAATGGAATGAATTTATTACTACATTATATGTAAATAATACACCTTATAGTTTTTTAATTCTACTCTATACATTATTTAGTTATTGTTAATGACTTGTTTATCTACAGAAATAAAAAGTTAAGATAACAAAACCTCATTAGAAATCCAAATAAGATTATAATTGGAAAAAAGATTCACGAAAGCTTTTGAAAAAGATTTGTCATTGAAAACTACAGTGACATAAATTATTGCACTTTTTCTTTATTACATGAATAAAAGATTAAATATAATAAAAGCTCATTCTAACAATTCCAAATAAAGATTATAACTAAGATATATTTTTAGAAAGTAAAATTTTAATATAATTAAAACCAAGAGTTTTTTTTTTCAAAAAAAAAATGTGTCATTAAATATTGGGTTAATCCCATAAAAGACCTTATATTTTGTGTTTGTGTTTTTTTCGGATTAAACCTCAACTTTATTCTTTTTATAAAAATGACCTTGCTTTTTTTCATTTTTTACGATTTGGCCCTTTTAGTCATTTTTCTCCAAAAAAGTTGGAAAATCTGTGTGTGTGTGTGTGTGTGGGAAAAACTTAAAAAGTTGAGGATTTATTTGGAAACATTTAGAAGGTTGAGGGTTTTCTCCGGGAAAAAAAAATTGAGTGTTTTTTCGGAAAAAATATAAGGTCTTTTTTATGAAAAAAATAAAGATGAGGTTTAATCTGGAAACAACAAAATATAAGGTCTTTTATGAGATTAACCCTTAAATATTACATAAAATATAAAAAACAGTTATACTACATATTTTTTCATTCCATTCCACAATGGCATTAATAAGAAATTAAAATCAATGAAATGGAAGGGATCATGTTCCTTCAAGAATGGTCCATTCCATTCAAGATTCAACCACACAAAACGAACATCTTTTTTTTTTTCATTCCAATGGAATCAACCATTCCATTCCATTCCTTCCCCTGATTCCATGAAAGGAAGAAAGAAAGAAGAAAATACCTTCAATATGCCAAGGAACTCTGCAACGTGCACAATGGACAATATCAAAAACCCTAGCAGGAAAAGGAAGTCTTTGAGTCCCCATAACAGCTGAAAGAGCAGGAATCCCCCTTTCAAGTGCAAATTGAACCTGAGCTTCATGTTCATCTTTTGGAGCAAAAGACATTGTCAAAACATCTCTATCAAACAGAAATCCTCCAAAGCTTGCAACCCCACATCCAACATCTAATATCACACGTGACCTCTTTCCCCATGCAATATCAGGCACAATCTGTAGCAAACAATTATTTTTTCATAAATTTTTACAAAATACTTATAATGTTATATGACTTATCAAGGTGGTAGAACTTAGAAGCATTACTTCTTGTATGAAATCAATGTAATGGAGAGCTCCATGCTTAAACTGGGTCCCACCACCAGGGAATGTAAGGAATTCACCTGTAACTTTCACCCAGTTTTGGTGTCCTTTTAGTTCAGCTAGCTTTGTGTGAGGTACATTATGATACCATATCTGCAAAAAATTACATTTTCAGTCATCTATATATGTTATTAAGCATCTTTATTTCCTTAAAAATTAAACACAATCATATCATTTGTAATACCCAGATGCCAAAGATTGAAAAAAAAAATCTACTTTTATGGAGTAAATATATACTTACATATAACATGTTCACATATGTAATGAATAGTTATTAGTTAAAGAGGCATGTAAACATGCATATGGGAATATAAACACTTGAAGAAAGTAGATACTGCATAAGTGAACATACTTTTAGAGGGTGTTTGGGATTTCATCTAAAACAACTTATTGACTTATTGACTTTTTGAAAAGTTAATAAGTCAAAAAAAGTGTTCGGCAATATGAAAAAGACTTTTAAAAATAATTTCTTATCAACCCTTCAAAAAGGAGATTTCAATAAGTTTGGATTTCTAACTTTTCACAACTCCTTATAACTTTTTGGGTTGTAAAAGACATTAACATGTATAAGCTAAGACAAACACTTTTTAAAAAACTCCTTTTCTCATTACGATAAGTCAATAAGTCCTTTTGAAGTTCAAAATGAAATCCCAAACACCCTCTTAACAACAATACATAGCAATATAAGCTTGAAAGTAAAGAGGAGACAATATAATAGTTTTAAGAAAATAGTATTATATATACCTTTTCCCTACTAGTGGGCCACTCTATTGGGCGTTGATATCCTTCAGGAAGAGGAACAAGGCAAGTAGGAGGATTTTCAGGACAATGTCTTTCCCTATGTTCATAATGCTTAGTAGTTCTAAGACCTTTAATTGCTTGTAAATTATCAAGACATGGGATATAATCAGGTCCAGCTGTAACATTACAAAGTTTCCAATTATACCCATAATCTTTCTCCCCCTTTTTCTCCTTATGCCCTTCCTTTTCATTCATTGACTCAGTTGCTTGTGTTGAAAATGATCCATTTTGAGCAGATGTTTCACTCAAAAGCTCAGATTGAGCCCCAGATGGCAATATCTCAACTTGGGTTGAACTTGAATCATCTTTCCCTTTCCTTACCCTCTTCAGAGATTTCTTGTTTTTCATCTTTCACATCCTCATCTTTTGAATCCTCATCTTTCTTTGAATCCTTTTCATCTGAATTGGTTTCCTTCTCGTCTTCATTTTGTATTGTTGTTTCTTGAACTTGTGTTTGTGTATTCTCCTCTTTAGAATTGTTTTTTTCATGTTGTGAATTTCCACTGTTGTCCCCTTTTGTTGCATCTTCAGGTAAATCTCCTGGATTATCCTCAAACTGTTTTGAAGTTGTGTTATCAGGAGTTGGAGTCTCATCTTTGCTAATAATGCTATCATCAGTCACTACTGTTCTAACTTCATTAGTGTTCTTCTGTGTAGTGTCTAGATTTTGAAGAGGAACAACAGATGATGATGTCATCATCCATACGCCAACTAAGCAGAGGGCTACAAAAGCCACCAGTGTAACTGTGGAGCAGTAATTATTTGTGGATTTTCTTCCATCATTCTTAGAGTGTTTTCCTAGTGCCATTATTATTGATTTGGATTATGTCCTAACAATGTGAAGCCTGCAATTAAAGACACTGTTAATGCTTTTTTAAAACTACTCTAAGAGAAGAAAAAGGAAAGGGAAATAAATTTATGAGACAAACCACTAAATATCAAGCTAGTATATTTAAGAATCCAAGATATTAACAAGTTTATCTTGATCTAGAGTACACTAGTGTGCTGTTATCAAAGTTTTCAAGCATAAATTATTATTAATATCATAAATTTCAAACTTAAAGAATGACCCTTTCGATCACAAAACTGATAATGTGGATCTAATTTGGAATTAAGGTGGTAATATGTAAAGAAAAAGACAAGGTCATGTTAGGAGGTAGTCTAATCCCTCATCTTTTTTATTTCTCTCAACTTTTTTCTTTGATTTATTTATTTGAGGGCTGTTTTGACCTCTTGCAGTCCACAAAACTAGCTCAAAATTAGAAAATAGTAGTAGAAAACCATATAATGAGAAACCCATAGACAAAAGGTTAACATTTTATATCTTATGAAAACTTCCAAGACAACTTCAGATTTGGCTAGATCCTTCAAGAGTTAGAGTGCTGAAACTCAAAAGATCAACAACACCAATGTTGAAGATCACAATCCATGGATGTGAAAGCTTTTAAATTGAATCATCTTATGTAAGCTCTCCATAAATAACTAGTATATGTAGGAACAATTAAAAGTAAAACAGAATGGTAGCTCGAGCTAAATGTCATGACCAATGATTCTACAAACTCTGGGTAGCAGCTGTTCTGTTAAAAAAACATCGATATACATAATACGCGTAGCACGCTAATTTATATACAAGTAATCCAATAGGATAATGATGGTTTTGAATTCTTAACAAAAATCCACATCAATAATGCCTACCAACAGTGATAATGCTGCCTTATGATGGCATTATTGATTATTCACGATGACCCATCCAATCTACAACATGATTACGACTGCTTTACTTAAATCGCACCCAGCCCTAAAACGTTAATAAATACTGGTGGGGTTAGGATTCGCCCTTTTCGCC